TATATATGCACTCTTAACCATACACAAAGGGCCCCAAATATTTTGTTCTATACTTCGTAAAATTTAAGATAGAGCTTTACAATTTTATACAGAATCCTTTGTACGAAATGTGGATCCTGACTGTCGTTTTGGTCTAGCCGCCATATAAGGATATATCCCGATTTCAAGTATTTTTTTTACATTTTAGCCTTATATTTATACCCTCCACCATATTTGGAGGGCATATTAACTCTACTCATGTCAGACCCAACAAAGTATATATGTTCTTAATCTGTTTAATATTCTATCATTCGAACGAATGGAGATAGAATCTAAAACTTCATACACATTTGAATTTTGCCAGTAGTCAGGTTAAGTTGGGTCATGTCGGACCACGTCTTCATGTAGCCACCATACAACAATATCTCCCCATATTCGGTATTTTGACGATTTTAGCGACGTTACTTACCGGAATTGTTTCACATTTACTATTTAAAGTTCGTAATGAATACTTCAACCTATGACAGAAAATTTTCTATGCAGGTCCACGTCTTCGTACACCCCAAACAGAACACTACCTCCTTTTTTCGGTATTTTGATGATATAAGCTTCATTATTCAACGGAATTGTTTTAAATTTCGTTTTTGAAGGTCCTAATGGGCACTACAGCCTTTGACAAACAGTTGCGTATACAGTGTTCGGATAGCCGCCATAAAACGAGTTCCTTCTAAATGATGGAGGGTATTAAAAGTTCAGCCCTGCCGTACTTATGTCCTTTTTTAGTTGTTCATACTTACTTCCGCAAATTTTGGTAATAAGAAGAAACTTAATAAGAGGAAACTATCATTACAAAAATGATTATTTTATGTCCACGTTTTAGTGTAACCCTTATATGAAGGTATCCCTTAATTTCAGCTATTTCCGTGGTCTTGTCACATTTTTCAATTGATTTGATCCTTATTTGGCATTTTAGTTTCTATGGTGGTAGAATGAGGTAGCGCCCACATAAAGGTACCTCTTGATTTTACTTTTTCCGAGCGTCTAGACCACATTTTCTACTTTGTACTTAGAAAAATATCTTTCAGAAAATTTTCAATATAAATATGTAATTTGGCATAGTCCCCGTAAAACAGTGACTCTCAGCTTTACGTTCCCAACAAATATTTTCTGGGCGTTGAGAATTTCTGATTGGAGGAAATCGTATTAACATAAATAAATTTCTTAAGGGTATTTGATTTTTTTAATTTTCCAAAACGTGGACCGACATCACCCATATTGTCCGCAGATGATTATACATGTAACTCATAGACCTGTATCAAATCTAAAAGCTCTGTCTCCAAATTTGACAAAGTATAGAGCAAAATATTTGAGGCTAATAAAAAATGTTTGGCTGGGAACTTAAACTCCTTCTTGTAATTTTGATCTTTGAATTTACCACCACCAGACCATGATATTGATTATTGATATTTGGCCATATAACTAAGGGTAGATTAATCAGGAATGAACTATAGGTATAAGATAAAGGGGAGGTTTTAAGTAGTACTAAATGTTCTCAAAAGTAGTGGGTAGTACTGATAGTTCTATGCGTTGCAATGTTATGAACTTATCCAGCTGGAATTTGAAAATTTATCATTTCGGAATTTATGCTCTTATAGAGTAGATACTTTATTGCAGAAAATTGTCGTCATATGTCCACGTTTTGATTTGAGTACTTAAGTAGAGTATTAGTCACGTCCTTCCTTTAACTAAAATCTTCGTTATCTCCATATGAAGATGCATCCAACAATGCTAAGCATTCTTTATCTATACACCCAATACCAACGGTATAAAATGTAGCACCAATTTCAAGCTACATACAATCCTACCATAGTGGTCATTGTACCAAATTTCAGAATTCAAATTGTATCACTAATTTCTATTAGGTACGCATTAAAAAAAGGTATTTTCAAAATTCATTTCCAGTCCTATTGCCACATTTATTACCAAATTTTGAGTCATTTAGTATTTTTCGTACACTATAACATACGCATTTCCTAGAACCGCCAGATGTCTAAATTCTTCATACTCTTGTGGACTCTTATATTCAAAATCCTACGTTTTATAATATGTATAGCACTTTCTGTACACGCATTTCCAAAAGCACTTTATTGTTTAATTCTAAACACCCACAGTGACTCTTATTCCAAAACTCATAATTCCAGTTCTATCATACACGCTATATCAATTTGGTACAGGTTGTACTTTTCTTAAACTTTTCGTAATTCGTATCATTTCCGAATCCATCTCTATATCAAAATGTTACACACTCCAATAGAAAGACTCATAATTCCAGCTGTATTCCTACACTCCATACTCAATTTAGTACTTTCGTACACTATATAGCACGCGTTTCTAAAATAGCACAAATGTGTATCCCGCAGAGCAAAGTTCATAAACTCATCCATTCCCACACTATATAAAATTGTGTACCATTGTACAAAATTCAACCCATTCTTGTACCAAACTTGGTACACTTAAGTACGCATATCCAAAATCATAGTCTTATATCAGGCATGCTTCAAAAAATGTCAAGATTTAAGCTGTTGAAAAAACATCATGGTACAAAATTGGTTCCTTTCTGCACTTTTCGTTCACTTAAAGTTGGAATTGTCTAAAACACTTTGCTACACTCCATAATATGCAGGGAGAAACGAGATAGACCCGTGGTTCCTTTTGCTGAAACTTTAAATTTTATACAGTTTCTATGTATAGCCCATGAACACTTTACAATTTTGTGATAATCAATCCATATTTAGACATAATTCTTTTATATATTTAAATACGATTTCACGTTTATCTTGCACGAAACATGTAATATTAGCCCCCATCCTGTGTGGGGCCGATTTAAGCCTAGAATCAAGAATTTGGAATTTGTTGAAATCTAAGGAAATAGCCATAGTGCCTTTACCGATTTTACATTAAAGCCATGGTATGTACTCCATAACAATAATATTCTTTTCAAGATATCAGATACGACAATTGACATTTTTATACCCTCAGCGATATTGCTAGAGAGGGTATATATCACTTAATACGGCCAAAACGTCCTCATCGAAATAACGGTTTTAACCCTAGGTCTCTTTGGACCAAATCGGTTTCAAGACATTTGGAGTCGATCTAACGATGTCAGGATAATCCAATTTTGCTCAAACTTTGCAAATCCTTATATCCGCATCAGTGCTAGGTCAGGTATTGGTCCACTCCATCAAGTACCTCTCCCACAAAGGGTCAAAATTTTAAATAATTATAACTTTTATATAAAATGAGATTGTCTCCAAATTACATAGATCACAATATTTTTAATAAACCAAGGTCTGGTGTGAAGATGGAATATATCTGTACACTTCTCCTGGTACCTCCCTCACAAAGGGTCAAAATTCTGAATATCCATGAAGCTCATAAAACGCGACATTAACAATCGATTCCATTAAGACTTGGCACATCTCAATATTTCCATCACCATAAGATCTCTTACAAAGATGGTAGAGAGCGGACCATTTCTTCTGGTACCTCCCCCACAAAGTGTCAAAATTTTGAATAACCACAAAAAAACGCAAAATCTGTGAAACGATATATATCTGCTAACCCCTTCTGGTACCTCAGCCACAAAGGATCACAATTGCCAAAAATGATATCTAGCATAACTTGCGAAACAAGTCGGCGATTCTATACAACTTGCTATATCTAAATATAAATAATTTTTTTTTATCTGTATTAGATAAAGTGGAATATTTCCGTCTGTTATATCATATTTCCAAATTTTCCAAAAATTGGCACATATCTCATATTATGTATAGGAAGTGGACAATGTAGTCCAAACTACGTTGTAATATTTATCTACGTTGTAATATTTACCCGCGAAGCGCTTGCTGAAGGTGATCGACACTTTGGTATTTTTTAGTGCCAACTTCGCTTTCCCAAATACTCCAGATACAATAATCCAACGGATTGGTATCCGGAGATTTTGGTGGCCATTGTGCGCTGGAAATGAAGCGAGGAACCACATTTTGTAGCTATTTTTGGATGGCTCTACCCCGAGCTCATTTTTCAATATTTGCGAATGGAATATTGCGATATGTTCAGCTCACGAGCCATTTTTCGGCAACTGCGACGAGGGTTTCGCTTCATTACTCTTCGAACCATTTCTGCTCATGTTTCCCTTTGTTTCCGTCCATTTCCTTGACGTTGGGCTACGCTATCAGTATCACGGTAATGAGCGATGGTACGAGACACAAACGATTAATTCACATTTAAATGCTGGAGTGTTCTAGCGATAGCCACTTGTGGTTTTCCAGCCAAATATAAAGAAATCACACTATCACGCTTGAATTCCATCACGAATAAGTTTTTTTCTGGAAAATTCTCACAAAAATGCTTTTGTACGCTTGTAAACAATATCATGAACTGTCACTGGAATAATTTTAATAGCTGTCGGACGAGTGACTTAGAAATGGCAGCAGTCTGAAGTTGGTTGCAGTTTTTTCATCTCAGCCTGTATGTGATTCATCTAATTTTACATTAAAGCCATTCCATAACAATAATATTCGTGAGATTTAAATATAGCTTCCATATATCTTCTTCAATGGGGATGTAGATTTTGCAGATATAACTATAATTCACCTATATATGTTTCATCCGATTTTTAATTGAAGCAATATCAAAACCAAAACATGCCATCTATAACAATGATATTTGGTACGACCTTTGTAAAATTAGGATATAGCTCCCTGTGAGAAGTAAATCGTTCGTCATTGAACCACAATATGTTATTGAATCCACATTACATATTAAGGAAGTTTAATTTTAACTCAGAACTAATACTCTATCTATTATAAACCTTTATTTGTAGTAGGCATCTCGTTCGCTTTCGTTGCTTAACATTTGGCGTTATTTTTGTATAGCATAAATACTAAAATAGCGCCAAATGTTATTTGAATTATTGTTAAAAAATTAGGTAAAATTATTTATTTTATTCTTTTCAGAAAACTACAATTCATAACAATTAATTGCGGATACAAATACGAATAATCGGCCTTCTCCATGTTGGGCAAATTCACATCGAACCATGTCCAGGTTTATCATCAGTATTCACGTACTGTCTCATTGAAGAAACCGAAGAAGGTAAGTACACCGCTTGTCCATTCTCCCCCTTACTGTTATCCTCTGCTTGGACATAAGCAGAACAATGGTGTTAATGTCTGACAAGGGAAATTGATTTCCATTAAACCGTCTGTTGTCATTATGATTTATGTTTTTCGTTTTGGTCGGTCGTTGATCGACCCCTTGTACCCCAAATAATAACTAGCTAACTATTGTCCAATCTTTATTTACTCATAAATTGTTTTTGTTGTGTCATAAACAAATTATTTCTGTTGATCATTACGTGTTCCATTATGTGTTCCATTCCAAAAAGAAAACATTTGCCTTCAGCAAGGATTAACAATGAAACCATTTATTTGTCGTATTGTTTTGTCAGCCATTGGAGTTTTGTCTTTAGTTGCCCACTTATGGGGGACACAAAAACAAAAGGGAAAGAGGAAATATTTCCCCACTTCCATCACATTTTCCACAGTTCTGTCTTGTCATGATTTTGTGGTACTGGTTCGGGGGGTGGGAATTATAATATACTTGTCCATTAATCACATTCAAATGCAAGAAAATAGCCCCACCATCATTGATGGCTGTGCTGGACGTGATACCTAACTACCTACCTACCTGCCATCGATGAACTATTCAATTTACTTCGATAATTTATTAAAATTAGTAGCAGAACAACCGAACAACTAACCAACCAAACATTTATAAAAACGCTTAATGCGAGTGTGCGGTGTGTTTAAGTGAAAAATAATTGCATTTCTCTGGGAGTGAAGAAATGAATGAGTTAAAGACAGCCCTGATGAAGGCATTTCAAAGGAAGTGTCGATTATAGTAATTGTACAAAGTGTGAACCAATGTGTATTTTTCATAGAAACGGGTGAAGTGTTGATATAGAATTACATTAGTATTATATACCCACATAAGGACATAGACAGTGAAAAATAAAATAGATGTTTATTTCCCAATTTTCGAGAAAGTTGATCCAAAATTATCTTACTTCTTGTAACATTAGCTAAATTTTGTAATTTATACATTATTTACCACCTGACCACTTGCATTTGACCGCTTGTGTATGCGAAAAAGTGATATTAAAGGCAGCAAGAAAATTTAAAAACACTCATATTTTTTCAGAAAAAAAATCATGAAATATTTATTCGAATTGATACGGTCCACGTATTGTAATGTTTGAATATTATTTCAGGCAAATCTTGACCGCGACTGCATCTCAAACTGTTTCTTATACCATCAGCCATATGGCTAGTTATATATCATTTGATATGGCCAAGACGTGCATCATCGAATTAACGGTCTTTGACCCTATGTCTATTTGGACCAAATCCGTTTCAGGAGTCGACCAAACGATGTCCTTCCGTCTGTCTGCTGGCTGGTGCGCATGATAACTCTTGGAGAAGTATCGGTCTACTTCTTCTGGTACCTCCGCCAGAAAAGGAGCAACATTTTAAATGTCCATCAAGCTCATAAAACGCGAATTTAACATCCGATTACATTTAGACTTGACAAATCTCAATATTTCCATCAACACAAGATCTGTTGTGGGTGGTGGAGATAGGACCGTTTATTCTGGTACCTCTCCCACATAGGGTTCAAGATTTGAAAAGAAAAACGCTCAAAGAAAGCGAAATAAGTATAAACTCTCTTCAAATTTCACAAATGCAAACATATTTGCCAACACAAAATCTGTTTTGAAGATGGTGGGTTCTCTATTTCGGGGCACGTACAAAAAATATGTGACTTACATATCCCAACTCAACATTATATCAAGTGTTAGTACACATATTTCAGTATACAGATCTTGGAGATAACTGGCATGCCTCTTTTTATTTGTTAAATTCATGTGAGACCTTATGCTGTCTAGAATATCGAATAATAGCTTCATACCCTCGACCATATGGCTTCAGACGGTACATATAATTTAATATGACCAAAACGTGCAATTTCAGGACATTTGCAGTCGATCCAGGGTTACACGTCAGCCCATCCGCATGTCTCTCTGACTGGCTGATGCGCACAATAACTCCGGAAGGTTTCGATTATATATTAAAATGTTAAATTTAAGTCCGAGTGTCTCTAAATTGCGCATATATTTATTAACATTTATAATGCGAAAATGGGATATATCGCTCCACTCCTTCTGGTATCTAGCCCACAACAGGTCAAATTTTTGAATGACCAAGTGTTCATAAAACGCGAAATGAGCACCCAATCCTGTTTAAACCCGGCACATCCCAATACGTCTACTGACACAAGATCTGCTATATATCCTCGCAGCCCCAACAAAGGAGTCAAAATTTCGAATAATTAAAACCCTTATAGCACGTGAAACAAGTCAGAGATTCTTATAAAACTTCGTATATGCCAATACTTCTGTTTGCCAAAGTTCTAACAGATATTTCGGTTCACTCATTCTGGTTAAACTTTTGAATTACAATTATTCCTATGAAATTGTAAATAAGTGTTCGACTTTGTTTTTTTTTTTTTTTTTTTTTGATTTTGCGCATCCCAATATTTCCCAAAAAGTATCACATATATCAGATAAAAGTAGTCGATACAGACCAAATCTGTCACTTTGTAATATGCATATCAGACTTAAGTCAGATACCAAATGAACAATATTGGCCAACTGTTTCGGAACCACTTCTTAAAGGGTTAAAAGCTTCAACAATCATTAAGCTAGTCAATATATATGTAAACAAACAGACGTCATCGGCAAAATTGATCGATGAATGATAACATGATTCAGTGTTGGCCTTCATGGGGAGGTGGACCGATATTTTCCATTTTTCTACTGACCTAAGTCTGACATATGCACTACCACAAATTTCGTTGTCAGATAGCGTGATTGTAGCGGGTGAATGATATATGAAACATACAGCGTCTTAAATTCACCACAGTCTGTATACTTTAATGAATTTTTCTGTTTTTTTTTTGTTCTCCTCTAATTTTTAAAGGAACCCCGGCTCTAGTTTGAGTTCGAATTTTCAAAAACTAGAAGGTCCAATTTTCGCTATAGTCTGGTTTATTTCCTTTGCGTCTTTATTTATTATATTGATCAACACAGGAAAAGAGCATTGAAACTTTGTAAGAACATAGAGCCGATAACCGATAAAATAATGCACTATTTTCTGACATTTGCTTATAGGAGCTTTAGTAAACTATGTAAAAAATATCCAAACTCTGGCATAATATCTTATCTAAATTTGCACTTAAGACCATACATATGAATATGAAAAAATGTTGGTGGCTCGCAATTCGAATAACAAATGGAATAATTCGAAACTCATATGGAATTTAAGGAATTACATTGGAAGTTTCAGAAACACAACTTACATCTGAAACAAATGTAGGAAATCAATAATAATTTCTTTTCGACTTTAAATTTATTTCCTTAGATCCAACTATTTATAATATTTTAAAAATCATCGTATCTACGTTACTAAATTAGCATTTTTCATATAAAAATAGTTATTTTCTCAAAATAAATTTAAATGAATGACACACGATTTAGGCGAAAGTAAGGGGAACTTATAACTCCCACACTTGCCTCCAAGATAACATACCTATCCTTTTTTGTGCGACACCTGACAAAACAATTCGAAATATGGTATTTTTTGTTATTCAACATTTTTTATTGAATCGTGAAAATGGAACATTTTTTCTGTTGAATTAGATTTCCTCGTTTAACGATATTTTCCTCTTGCATGTTTTTTTTTCTTCTATTATTTATTTTGATTTTGGTAAGCCGAGATGATGTATAAACGACAACAGCGGAACAGAAATGGATTTCAATGGCCTTAGCCAAGTTTGAGTAGTGCATGCGATTCTAAAATTATGCAAATTGTAATAATTTGCAAGTTAACCAACCGTTTATCCACGACTACAATTTTGAATTTGTTTTTTCTTCTCTTTTCCATCTTTTTTCTTCTTGCCTTGGAATTGCTCCACCTTCACATCGCTAGACAAATAAAGAACAACTGTTGTCGAGTGCAACATAAATAATAAAAAAAACAACACAGCTAACCAAAATTACACGCAACTTGCCGACAACCATCGCACGGACCAACAACACTCAAAATCGACAACGCCACGCTAAGTTCTGGTACAAGTTTTAAACTCAAGTTGAAAAAAAAAAAAAAAACGAACAACGACGCAACGTCGTTGTTGCAGCAGCTGCTCTGGTTATATGAACATCAAGGAAATCCAATTTGCCTTTTGTGGCGAATGACAACAGTCTATCCCTATTTTTGCCCGTAAACGGCTCTTGGACCAACAGTAGTTTTTGTTTTATACCACAACCACCACCCAATCCACCATCGTCGGAGGAGGAGGAGGAGAAGCAGAGGCATCCTTTTCAGATCATATCAGTCATTTGGCGGAGAACGTGTCGCAACGTAAACAAGTGGGTGTGGTGGCGTTTTGCAGGAAGAAAATTACAAAAATTCCGCAATTTCGGAATATGTTGAAGCCTAAACGACAAGCCAAACAGAAACCTAAAGCAAAACCGGTAAGCTTGTGAACCCAACAGCGCCCAGTACCCATCCCTTCCCAACTATCCAATTTTATCCTGTCCGTGTTCTCCGTTTTGAGTTGTTCACATTTTAGTTTTGCAATTCCCACACCATTCCCACGGTCCTTGACATTTTCGACAAGAGATTATAATACAATTTCATTTCCTTTAAATGCTACAAGTATATCCTTAATATCCTTCCTGTTGAAAAGCTTACTTTGTTTTATTTCGGTTTTTTTTCTTACCTTTATCCGCCCTCTATTCTATTTGTATTTAATCTTTCTTATCCATTTCTCTTTTCCCCCCTTTTACTTCCGTTCTTTAGTTCCTATCTCTTCTTCTATACTCCAACCGTACATAGTAGATTTAATGCCTTCAAAAGAAACTTGCATACCTATTACATACCTACTACATATATATTCGTAAATGTCTTTAATAGTAAACTTGAGAGATGTATTTGTGTGTGCGTGTCGCCTGTCTGCGTCGCCTGTGAGTGAGTGGGTGACACAGACAGGGAGACAGACAGACAGATAGACCAAAATGGAAAGCATCTCAAAAAGTTATTCTTTTTTTCGTTTTCCTATTTTTTTTTTCGATGTGCAACTTGACTAACTGCCAATTCGCTTTTATTTTACTGATGTAGTTTTATTAGCGTCATTATTATTGTATTGAAGTATATTCTTAGCGTATCGTCGTATCTAACGCATCAACTGCGTACTTTTAGTTAATTTCAATTTGTATCGATTTCTATGTCAGTCGTATTCTTAGTTTATCTATTATCTATGTATTTTTGTATGGATGTATGTATGTAGTGTCTGAGTCATTCAAGCGATGACGAACGAAAAAAAAAAAGAAAAACACAAGAAAATGTTGATTTGCGAATTAATTAATTGTTGCTTATTTATATGTGTTTTAAGAGAACTTTTACTATATAATATAGGACCTGTTTTGAATATTAAATGTCGAGGATAATGCGAATTTAGGACTGCCAAATGATTTGACAGAGTTCTTTTCTTTTACTTTATTGAGGAAGTATGTCTTGTATTTTTTAAGTTCTTTTTTACAATAAGTGTCTGACAGGGTCAGAGCCGGAGTCTGTGTTGAAAAAGAAAAATGAATTGTCCCCGACTTCATTTTTTATTCTCTACATAATTGGGTTAATTTTGTTAGCAATTTATTTCGTTAACTGACTTGCAATGCTCCTTGGTAGTTTAACCAGTCTTGGTAACAAAGGAGGAAATGATAGAGACTATTCCATTTAGGTACTTTGTAAAAAAATCAGGAAACAATTAAGAGGTCTTCATGTTTCCAAATTTGTTGCCTTCGCTTGGAAGGCTCGCTAAAAATATGCCGGTACCTCATTGGACACCATATAATATTAGCCACAACAAGAAATATGATCTCAAAGATAGGCTGCAGAAGCTGCAATATGATATGTAAGCCGATTTAATGATACACTTCGAATTTCGAAGGTTTAACCTACGGTGATTCTGTCCTTTGGAGTTCTTAATATACAAAGTCTTTTCATCCTCAAAAATTAATTTTCCAACTCAGACTTTTATCTACCACATAAAACAATAAACTTATATAGGTGGAAATTCATTAAATTTATCATTGTCCCATATGTTCACGGTTTTATAGTTCAAAATAGTTCAAAAGAGAGAATGCTATTTCGAGTATATGATTCGAGTAACTTAGGAAAGTATTTAGAAACCTCCCTTACTTTTACTGCAACCCAATTGACAGCATTCAGTACACTTTGCAAACACCATCGTCTATGAAGCAGCGCCCAACGTTGCTTAGCATAGAAAATCTTAAAATTCCAGCTCTTCTTATGCTTCCAATATGAATGACATTACATGTAATACCATGTGGGATATATTCCCTCACAATTTAAGCTACATCCCGTTCCAACCCCTTATCTAGACCCACAGAATTTCAAAATTCCAATTCTCCAACTTTACTCCATTAAATATACATTGTCTAAATTCTACACAACCAAAGTGACCCATATACCAAAATCTATAATTACAGTCTTATTAATACACTTTAACCAATTTCTTCACCTTTAGTACTTTTCGTAAACTATAAAAAAAAATCATCTTCTTATCTTCATTCTCCATATTCTTATTGGGTCCTCAAATCAATATTCATAGTTCCCTAACTATTTCTATATTTCTACACTATATATCATTTCTACACTATATATCAAACTTAGTACTTTTCGTACACTATTCAGTACGCATTTCCTAAAACACCGCTTTATCTTTATCTTATCTTTAAAGTGTATTAATAAAATTTTCTTTGGAACTGCATACTACAGTATGCACTATATACTGCGTATTTCCAAACTCATCTCCTAATCTAAACGCTTCACTTTCAAACTTTTCCGAATAGGAAAAAATCATTCTATACCAAATATAGTGCAATTTAGTACTTTTCGTACACTTATTTTACCCATTACCAGAACGACCCCTACTTAATTTCAATACTCCACTTTTATTCATTTGCACAAAACCATATTGAACGGAATTTAGTACCATTGCTTGGTACCCAAAACCACCTCCTTATATCAAGTATACTTTTCAACTTTGATTCCCACTTAAAACATCAATATTTTACATGGAGCCGAACACAATGACTTAATGTTTTTTTTTTTTTTTTTTTTTTTTTTTTTTTTTTTTGAATATCTAACACATTGCAACCTATGTGTTTCTAATTTTACATTTTGAAAAAACCTTTAGTGTAGGCCCAGAATTTGGTATAACCACTTTATTTAGCTCCAATTTATATACCCTTTCACCCCCATATCATGTGAGGTCATCTTCCGCAGTTTTTTATGTTTAGGGATATTCATCACTGAATACTGAACTTTGAACCTTGTATTGTTCATTGTCGCCTTTGACTAAAAACAGTTTTACTCTGCACAAGATTCTGCAGCCGGGTCATCAGTTCCATGTTTGATCTCAATTACTTGCCCACTGCCAAAGGATTCTTGTTACTTTACTTGGTTTGGCTTTCGATTGTGCTGCTTTAAATAATATCACTGTGAAACACAAAATTAATTACGGGGAAAATCCAGCAGATTATAGAAGAGCTAAAATTACAGAAAAAACTCCATGGAATTTTTTTCGATAAAGGGGTATTTTTTAAAATATGGTTAAAAACTCCATTTAAACAGGATCGTAGCAAGTCATAATATTCTACACAATTTGTTGTCATAAAATTCTATCACAGGTTCTAGTAGCCGTCAAGAGTCTAAATATTAAAATAATATTTTTTGTAAAAATCTCCAACAAAGCATTATTTTAGAAGGATGACGTCAAAGACAAAAATATTTTTCACCAATTTTAATATAAATCACCAAAGAAAAAAATATCAAAAAAATATTTGAATCAAAACAAACCGAAAAATTTAGGCGGAAAGTGTCAAAAATAGAAAAATAGTTTGTAATTAGTGATGGAAAAAGGTTCAGGGATTTTAATATGCCACTCTGCTTTGCAACCTTATTGTATTCCGGGCCTCACTTTAATCACCGTCGTAGTGACCTCATTCATACTGTGAATAAAGATTTATTTACTTGTGTCGGTCTGGACCAGAAATGGACATCTACCAACTTTAAGGTTTTGAAGTTTTTTCTTAGTTTTTAGAAATCATCATCAACTTCAAAATATTATTTTATTTACATAAATGTCAGTTTATATTGATGTTCCAGAAATAATTTAATACTTAGAACATTATAAGTGTAGTTATCCCTCGAATGATCACATTTTAATATTTCTCGGCACAGGCTAGGCTAAAGATTAAACTTCTCCTGAGATTCCTAGCCTTCTTCTCTTTTAATATGCCTGTTAGCTGGGTGCTTGAAAAAATACCCATGGCAATAAATGCAAGGGCAACACAGCTGAAGATATTAACAATTTATACTTGAATATATACATTTTTTATTTTGTAAAATAAAATTTCTATGGTCGGAAATAGATTATGGAAGTTTTTGTCATGTTTCACCCTGTAAGAAAAACAAAGAAATTATCTACTCAATTACACCAAAAAATTACAAATATATACCATAAAATCGCACATAGAGCCATTTAAAAAAATTGAATTGTAGCAAGCATGAGAGGAATAATTGTCTATTGTTCCCATTCATTGTTTTCGATCATAAAAATATACGTCCTTAGTAATTGTATTATATTTTACTCATTTATGTGCGTATTAGTATTTCTGTATATATTTATGTATCATAGTAGATAATATGTATGTAATATACTTTAATAAAAATACAAAATGCAATTAGATACATAAAGAGTTATTGTGCTTTTGTGTCTAAGTAGTAAATCGAATGTGTTGGCTTAGAAAAAAATGTGCTTTGAAGATTGCTTAAATATATGGTAATTGAATGTGATAGTATAGTGCAAAAATAGCATTTAAATTGCGTGAAATTACAGGATACGTAATGGTATCCTTCAAACATCGCCAGAAGTTATATCAAATAGTTTTATGGTTGGACAAATCAGTAATCAATATAAAGTAACATTTTAGTATTAATTAAGAACAATTCAATCTTACATACGAGGTTTTTGGGGGAAATGGGGTCTAAAATGAGTATTCTTCTATTTATATCAGTCTGAACAAAAGACCTCATGCTTGGTCTTAGTAAACATGATACTTTCTCCTCGAAATAAAATTAAGATAAAGGTGTTTTTGATAGCGCCTAGAAGTAGGCTTTGGATTTTTGAAAATATTTACCGACGACTCCAGTAAAATTAGTTTTGAGATATATTATTAATTTGCAAATATTAAATACTTTTTCGTCTTTTAAAGAAGAACGTTGAATGAATCTTGATGAAGATTTGTTTACTGATTTCTGATTGTGGTCATATTTATTGAATTGAAATTTAAAGCTAAAAAGAAAAAAAAAAATATGAAATACACATGAAGTTTGGTCCACCTTCAAAATTTAAAAGAAAAAATAAATCGATTGATATAATTCCCAC